AGCACACGTTTATTTTTTATATTCTATCAGCAGTTTCTCAGCATGAGAATGTCCAAATGTTTTTTTTTTGTTTTTTTTTCTATTTAAAAATTTGAAAAGTTTTCTATCAAACAATACATACGTTTTGACTCTCTGTGCTACAGTTTTGGAGTTATGAGTGTGTGTGTGTGTGTGTGTGTGTGTGTGTGAGAGAGACGAACATGATGCGATATCAACCATCTCAACGTGCTGCCTGGCCAAAAACATTTAATCAGATTATGATCACAGAAATTACAATTGTAATTGTATAACTTTAACTCATATAGCACAGTACATAAAATAGTACAACAGTCACTACTACAAAAGTCACTAACTCATTATTTAATGTTAACTGTACTATGTGCAGTCAGTAACATTGTTTTCTTTCTGGCTTGAGAGCTCTGCAAGTTCCCTTTTGCTATCAAGTGGGCAGGTATATTATTATTGAACTGTGAACCAAAGCCATTGCATTGTCTCTTTTTGAAAAAAAAATTTGTTTGTATCCTTTGTCCAGTCTGAACCCATTGTTGTAGTGGATGGTGGGCATCACAGGTGGATTAAAGCATCTTTGGGACCTATATGCACCGTATTAGTGATCTGGAGCACTTGAAGTAGCCGTTTTCCTGCTATGGTGCTCATGTAATGATAGCTGATAGTCTGCATTGTGCTGGGCAAGGTTTGCCAGTTCCACTCCTCATGGAATCACAGCATGTTCCAGCAGAAGGCATGTGATTTTTTGGTTGGCGATGGCATTCCAGTGTACACCACCTTGAAGTGAAACTGGAGGTGCAAATCTATCCCATCTAATACAAATTCGCTGACATGATTTCCGGGTAATGTTTATAATCTGTAGGGAATATCAAAAAATAAAAACAGTTAAAATCTCTCCCAAACACAAAAAAGGAAAAGATTTGATTAATACAGATTACGTATGTGTTTTAAATGATCATAAGATCTATGTTTCCATATTTTCTGATAGTGATATGGAAACTTTAATTGGCTAATTTGTGACAGAGTATGCATTAAACAATACAATGAGTTGACCAACAAAATGTATTTGACCATTTGTGAAGCCCATGATTTCAGCCGGCACGTGTCGTGGGAAACATGAGACTGATCAACCTCCTCAAAGAATGACAGGCGGGAGCGGAGCGTGCGAAGTAGGATCAACGTTATATCCGTGGGGGATGTGGATAACCTGGGCGGGGTTGGGTTATAAAAATAACATTCCAATCAGTGTCACATGATCTTCAGAAATCAGTATAATATGCTGATTTATTATCAGAACTGGAAACTGTTGTGCTGCTTAATATTTTTTTGGAACCTGTGATACTTTTTTCAGGATTCTTTGATCAATTTTTAATTACTTTCAGTGCTCAATCAACATGCTTGAAATATAAAATATTGCACAATAAAACAAGTTGGAAGCCTTTGATGGCAGCATTCCTTCATCAGTCACTCTGCATAAGAAGGGGTGTGTCTCATCTGTCCCTGTAACATCCAGACAAGAGTCAAGTGACAGCTGTGGTTTATCTGCTCAATACTGCATTTAATACAGACAGGCTGTTTAATATAGGATGTGTGTGTGTGTGTTTTATAAACATGAAATATCCAATGGAGACTTTTAGTTTGTCAGTAAATTCCTCACGGACACGGATTTTAAACGAGACCTTTATTTTGTCCGGAAGTTCCCCACAGATTCGCGCTTCCGGTGTTCGCTGTCCGATGTTTCAAATTAAACACCGCGCGACAGACGCGAATATTAATCGTGTAAACAAGAGCAAATAGTCATAAAAACGATTTTAAACTAATATGTGAAGGCTTGTGTTATGATATGGACGTGACGGATCAATATTTACTAAGAACTTTGACAGGACGGATGATGTTATGTCAGTTATTCTTCGTTTAATGTGAGTTTACGGATCATCTCTTTTCTTGTGATGCTTTATTTTTAATTATGGTAATATAAATGATAATAATCTTCAGATACAGTTGGGGTTTTAGTGACTGTAGAAATAGCTTCACATATTTAATAGAATCGTGTGTGTATATATATATATATATATACTGAAGAGTTCTTTTGCAAAAACAGATAACTCCGTTTTTAACAATTTTCAAAAATGATGTTTTTTCATTGTGCATTTCAATTAATCTCAATCAAACTGCAGTTGGGTTATTTTGATTAGGTTAAAAAAACTCAAAAATACTGCTAACTAACAATAAAAACGTGATAACAATAAAAAACATGATTTTTGAAAATTAAAAAAAAACGGAGTTATCTGTTATTGCAAATAAACTCTTCATATATGTATGTATATATGTGTGTGTGTGTGTGTGTGTATATATTTGTAGCTGACAAACAGATATGTGTAGTATTCTCTCTGTTTAATAATAGCTGAACTCTGAGTTTGACGGCTTCTTAATTAGATGATTATTTACTTTTTATTATTAATTTTAAAAGTGTTGTTTTTGTAATATGTTGTTATTTGTGTTCTGATGAAATCCAGCTTGTAGTGTGTGTTTGTGAGCTTCACATGGCTTCACTGGTGGATTATGAGGATTCTGACAGTGAGACGGATCAGGATCAGGATCCTCAGCTTCATCATGACGAAGCCCTCATCATCAGCTCCTCCTCCTCCTCATCTTCATCATCACGTGTGTCAGCAGCACAGTCCGGCTCCGTGAAGAGAGTCCAGCTGCAGGCGTCTGCGCTGAGGCCGTATGTTCCTAAGAGACAGAGACTGGCAGAGACCGCAGCGGCTTACACTGAAGAGCCGGACCCGTCTGCATCTGCCGGGTCCCCGCTGCTGTCTGAGGTGTCCGAGAGAGTCCGGCCGTTTCTGGGCCGAAGGCAGGGTCGGGTCGAGCTGCCCAGACGCATGCAGAGCCGTGTCGAGGCCCATCAGGGTCCAGTGAACACGCTGCAGTGGAGTCCAGTGGATCATCTCAGTCATCTGCTGCTGTCCGCATCCATGGACAGAACCTTCAAGGTGAGACTAACCTATAGCCAGTGTTGGGGAGTAACTAGTTACATGTAACGGCGTTACGTAATTTAATTACAAAATAAATGTAACTGTAATCAGTTACAGTTACTAAGAAAAAATGTGTAATTAAATTACAGTTACTTATGAAAATGTTAACGATTACAAAGGGGATTACATTTGAATATTTACACACATCCACGTACAGATTTAATTGATTTCTTTCCCAAATTGCACTGACTACTCTGAGACATACGGCCCTATAATTTCCGCGATGCGGAAAACACAGACTGGTTCGTAGAATCCAGTCATAAAAACGGAAGTCCTATATCCTAACGCGGACGGAATATGCCACATTTTGGACGAATAAATCAAAAGTAGGTCAGTACACTTGAATCAAAACGCGATATGGACTAGTGTCTGGGAATATTAAGCCGAAAAAAGACAATATATGAATCTTGCGCGTTCTGCGTGTCTTGCCATCGGGAGAACCGGGACAATTCCCGGTGGCCTGGCAACCGATTTGCCCCGCTATTTTAATATTATTATTGTATAATTGCCTGCCGAATGTACTAAAGCGATTATTTCCGAATTCGCCATTCGATAATTAAATCTCTAATAAATCATGAATCGGTTAGTCGTGACTGGCAATGCTTCGGCTCGCTTACGAAAATGAAAGATGATTTTACTATAAATCCAAAGACAATGGTTACTATTGTTAAACCATGGTAACCCCAAATCAACCATGGTTTTTGCTACACTAACCATAGTTTAACCATGGAATTTGTAGTAAAAATAAATACAAATGGTAATCCATTTGCAAACAAAAAAAAAAACTATATAATACTTTACTATAATAAAAACATGGTTCATTTCTGTAAGGGGAAAAACATGACTCGTGTTCAGTAGGATTTGTATATAAAGATATTGTAGTGATGTACTAATTTTGACATGTAGGCAATTTAGAAAGTATAGTTTTGTTAAATCTTGAGTATTAAAGTCATGTGAGACATAGATATCAGGGCAAAATAAAGAGACTGAAAAGAAAAATGGAAGTGAAGGTGCAGTTCAGGAGAGAACTTTTAATTATTTTGCATGTCCCCAACCTAAGGATTTAATCCTTTTCTTATATGAGGTCCATACAAAAAATTGGGTTGTCCATGTTTCAGAATGTGTTGTTGGTGTATTAGTGTGAGATTTCCCGGCCTGAAATTTTTTTCCCAGTCCGTCCCTCGTGGAAATTAATAACGCAGACATGCGGTTTCATTCACTACACATAGACCTACTGAAGCTCGCGGTGTTTTCAGCCTCTGCCGCCTCAGTATACAAGTACATGAACACATAAACATAATCTCTCGAACTGCTCTGAGTCACTTCATGCTGCAGAGGTGAACTGTGGCAAGGGGGTCCTTTAGAGTGACAGCTGCCCCTGATATTCCCTGATTTTATTACATTTTATTGAATGTCTGACGGTGTTGACAAAAAGTGGGGACACAACTTTAAGATCTTATGAAACATGCATGTGTCATTAAAAAAACAACCTTGCTTTGATAGGAGATATTATTAAGTGTTGCTTTTGATAAAACAAGCTTTTTTTCATCATTAAAAAAACGTTTTTATCCATTTTATTGCATATGAATGATTGAACCCTTATCTGTGGACACGCTGTTTTAGATGTAGTGAGAGGACATTAAGAAAAACTGATTTGGTATAATAATGAGAAAATTAAATTGAAGGTGATAATTGTGTTAAATACATTCTATTATTAATCCCTCATGACATTTAAAATTGAAAATATTTTTATTTGTTAAAGCTAATAGCAGTTACCATTGCTGGACCTGTTTTGTCCCACGTCTCAAGAATGACTGTATTATTATTTTTTAATTAACTTTTTTTTTCCAAACCATTGTTAGATGCAGTGTTTCCTGTAGTTATGCAAAGATTTCTTATCTATTAACTATTTCTTATCTTAACTATTTCTTAACTATTTCTTATCCTAACCTAACCAGCTGTTACCTCTACAGACTAACCTAAACTAACCTATAGCCTAACCTGACCTAACCTAACCAGCTGTTACCTCTACAGACTAACCTAAACTAACCTATAGCCTAACCTGACCTAACCTAACCAGCTGTTACCTCTACAGACTAACCTAAACTAACCTATAGCCTAACCTGACCTAACCTAACCAGCTGTTACCTCTACAGGTGGCTCATCTCTCAGAGAAATTAGTGAACTAATATTGTACATGTGTGATGATTAACCCCATAACAGGGTTTCTTCAGGTCTTAAAAACTCACCTTTACACAAACTAAGGCCTGAAAAGCTCTTAAATTGGAGCTGAAAGTTTATTTTAACTCATTTATTAATTAAGATAACTGGATCTTTTCAGTGATTGGTCAGTCTTCTCCAATCATTCAGGGCTCTTAAACTCCGCCCCTCACACTCCTCTGAGAGCCACGCCCACATCTCAACATCCAATCAGCAACCAAAGCACAATTAAACCATGCCTACATTTTTTTCAATTGTATTACACATTACAGAATTTAAAAGATAACTTGAACACTGAGTGCTGGAGGTTTAATTAGTGTGAGAACTAGTAGTGATGATTAACCTAAACAGCACTAATGGATATAAATCATTATGCAGAGTGACGGATGAAAGAACATCACGGCGCTGCTGTCAAGGACCTGGATGAGAATGAATGAGCCGAGTAAATTACTATGCAGAATGACTGAATATGTTTTATTGTAATGAATGAATCAAACACTCCTGTGATGCTCCAGGAACATGCGTGTGTTTGGTGAAGGTGTTCTTCATGTACACGTCTCCTGGGGTCTCTGGCGTGGAGCCGCTCCATCACTGTTGTGTTGTAATGCGTGTCGAGACCCAGGAGATCTGCTCGCGTGTGTCCTGAGGAACGCTGAATGACGCACACGCTGAGCTCCATTCGCTGTCATGAGCCCTTCATAGATGCACACTCCTCACCCTTCAGTGACAACTCGCTCTATTCAGATCTAAACAGGTCACCTGTGAGATTATTAGATCCAGTGAGAAAGTGATTTTATGGGGGGGGGGGGTCTTGCAAGGGTAAATAAAGAACTGGGGCCGGTCGCATAAACTGTTTCGACTAGACTTAAAAATTACTCGTCTAATTTTTTTTTTCTTCAAGTCTGGTCATAACTTTTTTAATTCAGTTGTGAAAAGGTAGATTGTTCTTATTTGTGTTGGAAGAGTAAGACTGATCTTGGCAGCTGCTAGTTGGTTAAACTAGTTCTTAAGACACGGTCTTAACATGGTGGCTAAGTTTATGCAACTGCTCCCTGGTTGTTTCAATACGTTTTGTATAGTACTATTTTCTTTACTCTTTACTTCAAAAACTATGTTTCAGAGGGTGATATTTTGTGTATTTGAGGTCTGAGATGTGAGAATGGTGAAGAGAGAGAGAGAGAGGGCAAACATTTTGTATTGTAGCTCAGCATTGTCGTCTAATCAGCCGATATTGTCTTAAATAGCCTGCAGCATATAACATGGGATTTTGACCAAATATATTCAATCTTGATTTTTGTAAAATGTTGCAACAAGATGTTAATTTTTTTGTTTTGTTTTCTGAAAAATTACAGTTTTGGACATATGAGGTAATAAAAAAATATTTTAAAAATGCCTTAAAGTAACTACAAATGAGCATGTAAAGCAAATATCTTTAAAAGAAACTCCGTGTGGAGCATGCCCCCTTTACCTGTTTGCATCTCTGGCCCTTCATCATCAGCTGCTCAGATATTCATGAGAAACAGAGCGTCTGTGTGATGCATATGAAGGACTAAACACACGGCGTCTGCTGCTTTATGATCATGACTCTTCTGTGTGTGTGAGTGTGTGTGTGTGTGAGTGTGTGTGTGTGTGTGTGGTGCATGTGCGATTGTATGTGCTACACTTAGAGAGGTGATAATGTTAAATAGTTAAATGACGTGTCCTGATTATGCAAGTTGCTTGTCTCTCCTGTGTGTGTGTGTGTGTGTGTGTGTGTGTGTGTGTGTGTGTGTGTGTGTGTGTGTGTGTCTGCGTGTGAGTGTGTGTGTGTGTGTGTGAGTGTGTCTGCGTGTGAGTGTGTGTGAGTGTGTGTGTGTGTGTGTGTGTGTAATAATGGAGCACAGGAAGCGTCTCTGTGGAGGGTCAGAGGAGCGCAGCTTTATCAGCCGCGGGCCGAACGCTCTATTCCTGACTCCTCTGCTCCTCATCTAGTGTTCCCTCGTCAGGAGACACGCCGCATCACTCAGTGTCGTCAGTCCTGCATGAAGTCATTCAGCTGTGCTCCAAACACAGGGCTCAATCTTCAGACTGTCATCAGTTTAAATGTTGATAATGCAGGTTACACCCACTGGATTCTATGCAGTTCACTAAGATCACCATTACAAAATACACTAAAGAGTCATGTGAAAACAGAAAACCTCTATTGCAAGAGACTAAACAATTGATGTAAATAAACTATGTGACCCTGGAGCACAAAAGCAGTCATAAGCAGCACAGGTATATTTGTAGCAATAGCCAACAATACATTGTATGGGTCAAAATTATTGATTTTTCTTTTATGCCAAAAATCATTAGAATATTAAGTAAAGATCATGTTCCATGAAGATATTTTGTAAATTTCCTACCGTAAATATATCAAAACTTAATTTTTGATTAGTAATATGCATTGCTAAGAACTTCATTTGGACAACTTTAAAGGTGATTTTCTCAATATTTCGATTTTTTTGCACCATCAGATTCCAGATTTTCAGATAGTTGTATCTCAGACAAATATTGTCCTATC